TATATATATATAGATATATATATATATATATGTTCATACCCCTACGACATGTATGCATACATATGGGTCGCTCTATCTTGATTAATGATACATGCATAGATCGTCATCGATACATGTATCAATCGATATCTCTACCGATCGATATACAGATGCATCTATATATATATATGTACATACATATATGTATGTCACTCTGTATACACACGTGCATATGCATGCATATCGCGAACTATCGCTACATGTACATCGATGTGTGTATCTGACTAAAAATCCGTATGTGTATATATATATATATATATATAGATATACAAGAATATATATATATATACACATATATATATATATACCAACCATCGGGGCAACCATCGGGACAACCATCTGGACAACCATCAGGACAACCATCTGGACAACCATCGGGACAACCATCAAGACAACCATCGGGACAACCATCGGGGCAACCATCGGGTCAACCATCGGCGGGACAATCATCGGGACAACCATCGGGACACCCATCGGAACAACCATCGGGACAACATCTAACAACGTCGATAAATCTATCTTCTATCTATGAACCATCGAGGCAACCATCGGGACAACAATTGGAACTGCCATAGGGTCAACCATCGGGGCAACCATCGGGACAACCATCGGGACAACCATCGGAACAACCACTGGGACAACATCTAACCACGTCGATCTATCTATCTTCTATCTATGAACCATCGGGAAAACCATGGGGACAACAATTGGAACTGCCATCGGGTCAGCCATCGGGGCGTCCATCGGGACAACCATCGGGACAACCGCCGGGACAAGCGCCGGGACACCCAGGGGCCACGCCCGGCGCCCGGGGGGCGGCCCTTTGGGAATAGGCGGCCTCTACTAAGGATGGAACTCGGGCAGCTTCGCCTCGCCCGCACGCACGAGACGAACGGAAACCGAAACCGACTTCCCGCTTGGGGCCACTTCCGTTCCAACCCCCCAACCTCCGAGATATCTGTATATATATATATATATATATATACAGATGGATGGATAGATAGATATATAGATATAGCTATATCAGACTGAGGGCGCCGAACGGTCATTCATTGTCCCTGGGTGCGTGGCTGAAGTAGAAATCCGTGGTGAGGATTATGCTTGTTGCGCTGCTGTTGCTGACGTTGTTGTTGTTGTTGCTGCTGTTGTTGTTGTTGGTGTTGTTGTTGGTGTTGTTGTGAGTGTTGTTGTTGTTGGTGGTGGTGTTGTTGCTGTTGTTGTTGTTGTTGTTGGTGTTGTTGTTGTTGTTGCTGCTGTTGTTGTTGGTGGTGTTGTTGGTGTTGTTGTTGTTGGTGTTGTTGCTGTTGTTGTTGTTGTCGTTGTCGTTGTTGTTGTTGGTGTTGCTGTTGGTGTTGGTGTTGTTGTTGTTGTTGCTGTTGTTGTTGTTGTTGAACATTATTACTTCTAAAGAATAATTATTGTTGGGGCCCCTGGTGCACGACCCCCCCGCCGCGCCTAGGCCGCAGCCTCATTTTCATCATTTTCGTGAGGAAGTCTCAGGCAAAACGGGTTGGTCCGGATCCGGTTGTGTTGTTACGATCGGCTTTCCCTTGCAAAAAATAAGCTAAAGTGGACATTTCTTGTTCTAACATATCCAAACTTCAAGAATCCCTTGCAAAAAATAAGGTAAAGTGGACATTCGCGCGCGCAAGACGAAATCCTTCCAAAACCTTAGTTTTCGTAGCGATTTTAACATAAAAACATCAAAAAACCAATGGTTTTTCAAAAAAAAAAAAAATGTCAAAATTTCATCCCGCGCGCTCTTGCGGATTCGTAGGAAACCCAACACTTTTTAATCATTTCTGTCAAACGGGCTTTTGCGAGCAACTTTTTCGAACTTCTGCAACAACGGTTGCGCACCTGCCAGGGCCATCATCCCTGTCAAATAATACCATGCGGGACACATTCGTTTTTTCTTCGCGCGCGCACGCCGTCGTCGTCGGCCGCGGGGCCCTGAATAGTAGCCACGGTCGTCCGCATGCCACGAAGTGAAGTGTCCGAACGTCATAGGGCGGGAAGCTGGGTGTGGGTGGTGGCGAAGAGTCGTTTGGAAATTTGGTAGAGCTTGAACCGGCCCCCCCCACAAAGTGGGGGTATTGCCCGCCTCCTATGAAAACCCTGGCACTGGTGAGAACGGAGTGTCCCCACGTGCTAGTAATTGTTGTTGTTGTTGTTGAACATTATTTCTTCTAAAGAATAATTATTGTTGGGGCCCCTGGTGCGCGACCCCCCCGCCGCGCCTAGGCCGCAGCCTCATTTTCATCATTTTCGTGAGGAAGTCTCAGGCAAAACGGGTTGGTCCGGATCCGGTTGTTTTGTTACGACCCGCTTTCCCTTGCAAAAAATAGGCTAAAGTGGACATTTCTTGTTCTAGCATTACCAAACTTCAAGAATCCCTTGCAAAAAAAAAGGTAAAGTGGACATTCGCGCGCGCAAGACGAAATCCTTCCAAAACCTTAGTTGTCGTAGCGATTTTAACATAAAAACATCAAAAAACCAATGGTTTTCAAAAAAAACTTGTCAAAACTTCATCCCGCGCGCTCTTGCGGATTCGTAGGAAACCCAACACTTTTTAAACATTTCTGTCAAACGGGCTTTTGCGAGCAACTTTTTCGAACTTCTGCAACAACGGTTGCGCACCTGCCAGGGCCATCATCCCTGTCAAATAATACCATGCGGGACACATTCGTTTTTTCTTCGCGCGCGCACGCCGTCGTCGTCGGCCGCGGGGCCCTGAATAGTAGCCACGGTCGTCCGCATGCCACGAAGTGAAGTGTCCGAACGTCATAGGGCGGGAAGCTGGGTGTGGGTGGTGGCGAAGAGTCGTTTGGAAATTTGGTAGAGCTTGAACCGGCCCCCCCACAAAGTGGGGGTATTGCCCGCCTCCTATGAAAACCCTGGCACTGGTGAGAACGGAGTGTCCCCACGTGCTAGTAATTGTTGTTGAACATTATTACTTCTAAAGAATAATTATTGTTGGGACCCCTGGTGCGCGACCCCCCTCCAAAACCTAGGCCGCAGCTACATTTCCTTCATTTTCTAGCGAAAGCTTCAGAAAAGTGAATTATTACCGGATCCGGTTGTTTTGTTGTACTCCGTTTTCCCTTGCAAAAAACACTATAAAATGAAAATTCTTGTTCTTACTTGATCAAATTGCAAGAATCCCTTGCAAAAAATAAGGTAAAGTGGACATTCGTGCGCGCAAGACGAAATCCTTCCAAAACCTTAGGTTTCGTAACGATTTTAACATAAAAACATCAAAAACCCAATGGTTTTTTAAGAAAAAATTGTCAAAATGTCCTTCCGCGCGCGCTGTCCGAATCCCACAAAACCAATGGTTTTTCAACATTTATGTTACATGAGCTCGCGCGAGCTACTTTTTCTTGTTCTAACATAATCAAATTTCAATAATCCCTTGCAAAAAATAAGGTAAAGTGGACATTCGCGCGCGCAAGACGAAATCCTTCCAGAACCTTAGGTTTCGTAGCGATTTCAACATAAAAACATCAAAAACCCAATGGTTTTTCAAAAAAAAATGTCCAAATTTCATCCCGCGCGCGCTGTCCGACTCCCACAAAACCAATGGTTTTTCAACATTTATGTTACATGAGCTCGCGCGAGCTACTTTTTCTTGTTCTAACATAATCAATAATACTCCCTTGCAAAAAAAAGTAAAGTGGACATTCGCGCGCGCAAGACCAACAAAAAACACGACGATCTCAGGAACTTGCCCCAAAAATGTGACCAACTCCGCTCTCTCTGTCTCTCTCTCTGTCTGCTCTCTGTCTCTCTCTCTGTCTGTCTGTGTCATGTATTGTATGTCACAATTGCAGGATGCTGGGCACACGCGCGCCCCGAATAAGTGACCAAGTTCTGTGGGTGTGTACCCCACGCCAGTGTAGTAGCCACGGTCGTCCGCACGCCACGAAGTGAAGTGTCCCAACGTCATAGGGCGGGAAGCTGGGTTTGGGTGGTCGCGAAGAGTCGTTTGGATATTTGGTAGAGCTTGAACTGCCCCCCCACGAAGTGGGGGTATTGTCTCGCGTCGCATGAAAACCCTGGCACTGGTGAGAACACTGAGCGTTCGGGTAAAATGATTATTGTTGTTGTTGTTGTTGTTGTTGTTGTTGTTGTTGTTGTTGTTGTTGTTGTTGTTGTTGTTGTTGTTGTTGTTGTTGTTTGTTGTCGTCGCCCCACCCGCGCCCCAACCCGCGACCCACCCGCGACCCAACACGCGACCCACCCGCGACCCACCCCGCGACACA